TTAGGGTTTTAGGGCTTAGGGTTGTAGATGGCCAACTGCCCGTAGAGCCTCAAATCAAGATATAAGGGGTATATACGGGTTAGATAGGGTTGCCCGTAGAGCCTCAAAGGCCACGGAAAAAACCTGTGAAGGGTTTAGGCTTTAGGGTTTAGGCTTTAGGCTTTAGGGTTTGGGCTTTAGGCTTTAGGGCTTTAGGCTTTAGAGTTTAGGCGTTAGGCTTTAGGGTTTAGGTTTCAGGCATGGGGATTTAAGGTTTAGGCTTTAGGGATTAGGGTTTAGGCTTTAAGGTTCAGCGTTCAGGGGAAACTATGAACTACTTTGGCCGTACACCCAGGCCACATCATCACTGCGATCACCGTGTATATCACCGTCATCATCATCGGAACCCACAGCATCAATACTCATCTTCCTCACCACTACCGTCATAACCGTCACTACCTATATACCGCTATCGCCTTCTGGATCGTCATTGCCGTCATTACCATCATCATCATCACCACCACGAGCACTCCCACCTATAATCATCGGTATCATCAACAGCAGCAATGCCACCATCACATCTACCATGAACATCACCATCTCGACCATCACCGACGCCATGGTCAACCTCGTCATCGTCGTCTTCTTCACCATCACAGCATAGCTACGATCCAAAATATGACCATTGCCCTGATATGTCCTGGTCATCAACGCCAACGTCACTATCACCATCATCGCCATCAGCTTCCGGTCGTCGTTGAACCACAACAGCGGCAGCAGCGGCAAGCCTACAGGGCTAGTGCCAGAAGCAGTTCCGCAATGACGACCACCACGACCAGCACCCCTGCCCTCTCTTTGTTGCCATGAGACGCGACGGACGACGCCGCCACGAGCGGCTTGCCCGCAGCGACGGCAGCATCGTTCAGCAGGTAGCGGATTCGTGGTGCATCTGTGCAGTCCACGACCACATCGTAGCCTCGGCTCGTGTTGTCCAAGTCGGGCTGGCATAGGCGTTGACATTACAGCATTGCAAAGAAGTGGCTTTGCATGAGGAAAGCCGCTTCCTCCGTGCCCACTATTCGTTTGACATGGGCCTGTGGCTGTCGAGCAGCACTTGAAGCAGGGAAACCTTGTCCTCTTGAGAAGCAGTCTCATGATTGCAACCTTACTGCAATTGTACAGGAGGTTGTCTTCTAACCCTCTTAAGGTAGGTAGGTAGGGTTCGACCTACAGCTGTAGCTGCGGCCACCACCACTCTTCCCCGCCCAGCATCTCAGGGGGCTTCCGTAAACGTCATCAGCCCCCTCCGCGGGAGGTTCCAGAGGGGGATATTAGCTGAACGTATATAACGTGAGGAGATGAGCCCTGATCGCACCCAAACCCAGGATTTCGGTCCGAGAAGAGGGGTTTCTACAGAAGCGGGTTCGGCGAAGGTGGGGCTGGTTTGCAACGAACACGAGGGGGGGCGGGGCTGGGTTGACAGAAACGGGGAAGCGGGCCCGATTCATGAGGAGCGGAAATGGAGGCGAAGCTCAAGGCCCCCAAACCCAAGTATAGAGCCGGTGGTTAGGGCTTGGAAAGCTGATGTAGCCCAAACCCAGGTCTACGGCCAGAGAATGGGGGGTGTGGGCCAGAACAGGCCCTGATCTCACTCAAACCCCGGGTTTCGTCCCAAGAAAGGGTTTGGGCCAGAAGATGCTTCAAAACACCTACAGAAGCCGGTTCGGCGAAAGGGGGCGACTGGGTTGACACGAACACGAGGGAGTGGTTGCGATCCTGCGAAGACGAATACCAGGAACCCTGGTTGACACGAACAACCGGCGCGAGCGCGAGAACGTGGACCTTACAGGAGCGATGGGACGGGTCGGGGAAGTGGAGGCCAACTTAGGAAACCTACAGAAGTCGGTTGCCCAGACCCCCAGGCCAACCCGTTTCAGCGCGAGAACGGGGTCTTTCGAGGAGCGGAAATGGTGGCGAACTTAAGAAACCTACAGGGGGGGGCGACTGGGTAGACAGGGACGTGGATTTCTCCACGAGCGCGGGGGAGGACGAGGATGCAAGGCCCGATGCGCG